GGGGGGGGGGGGGGGGCAGGATGACAAAGTAAACAGATTTTTTTCTCGTATTGTTTATTATGAGTACTTCGCTTATCACGTGTTCCTTATATGGTGAAGAAACCGCCGTCGATAACGCATAACGACCCATAATCTCGCGTATCGCTCGTCCGATGCAGAGATAATCGCGATCGCGATAATGACGCTCGACGATCACGATGACATTTAACGATCGATCCCGCATTTGTCTATAAACGGAGCGAGGGAGACGCGCGCGATCGGTGGGCAAGGACCCGAAGGAGACCGACACCTCCTCTCGATTTTCGATAAGAAAGCGCCACCGAGGCATCGGCCGCCGGTAATTTCGGCATCGGGGTCAACGTATAGCTCCATCTCACCTGATCTCCTTGAGTCGACTCGTGTCACGGTCAATCCCGCGATGACTCGGATAGCTCTCTCTCTCTCTCTCTCTCTTTCCGTTTTTCTCCATCCGTTAGACGACATTTTTTGCTTCTTCTTTGCGATCACGTAACGGACAATCTCAATCTTCCGGCGAAACTACGAAGTATTGCGTAGTGATTCAACCCTTTAAGGCCCAGTGTACATAATAGTGTACATTAACCCCTTGACATACAATGACGAGTCTGACTCGTCATTCATTTCATGGGCCACTGTAGACTTTGACGAGTCTGACTCGTCAAGCGCTTTTTTCGGCGGACGCCGTGCAGTTTACAATTAGATTACATAGTTGCATAATACATAAAATGTACTCTTTCTCAGCTTTCACGTAACTGTTCAGTTGAGCGAAATTAAATAGTATTTTTTAGTCGCATTAAGTTCCATTTAATTTGTATGTCAAGGGGTTAATTTTGGACCTTCCCTAAATTTCGTCTGTTAGTAATTAGTAAATGGTCCTCTCGATATGATATTATCAATTCATCTTAAATGAAGCTATGTTCGTCCTAACTTATAAAATACGTTAAAAACGTATACAAAAAAAACGCAAATACTTTTGATTTTGTAATCTACTGCGTCCAATAAAAAAATATTATTATTATTATTATTATTATTATTATAGTGTCTTTCCAGCTCAAGTAGACCGATACATGTAATCGCATGTAGAGCAAAGTCGTCAACTTTCGGATCTACAANAAAAAAAAAAAAAAAAAAAAAAAAACAACGTAGGTATATTTCACTTATGAAAATCGTATCCGATGTTTTCCAACTATATTATAAACAAGCGGAAAATAAGTATTTCTCAAATAAAATAAAACAATCTTAACATTTTCTCATTTTTACAGCTTTAAACGTCCAATGTAAATAATTATGTATGTTCAGAAAATATCAATTTCATTCGGACAAATGAAATTTTCATCAGGAATTGTCCTTTAAGACAATCTTACAAATTACATTTTACTCCAATGGAATCGATGGTGTGGGCCTTAATGGGTTAAATCGACTCGTCGTTTCTTGCCGAACGCGGGCTATTGAGGATTGACGACGACGTTTCGCGACGCGTCAGCAACATCGTACGACGATGTAGTAAATCGAATCGTCGTCGCCGCTTAATTGGCGCACGAATTTCCGCGAGCGAGTACGTGCGACGCGCTTTGCGCAAGACCGGCCGTAACATCTCATCGGTTACAGTCATCGGTCCGGTTCAGTACCATATAAGGAAAAAGTAGGTAAGGGTCCCTCAGCAGCCTTGACTCATATACGGCCGGGTCTCTTCTCGGAGCACTTGCTCGAGTGTGCTCGCGCGAGTACGCTTTTTAAACGCCGATCATCCGGAGAGGTCGATAAATATGACGCGTACAGGCGTCCGCTCGTCGCCCGAAGAGGCGCGACCTAAGCAGCGTGTTGCAGCATTTTTGCTCGTTCTTTTCTTTCTCCCTTTTGCCAAGCGTCTCCCGTCGTTCTCGAAGAACGAAAAAAAAAAAAAAAATGAATAGCACCGTGCAAAAAAATACGAGTGATGCAATTCGCGCGGAACGAATCGGGCGACGACAGGAGAGAATAAAACCGATCGGAGGGATCCCGCATAGACAATCGGCACAACGGATACACACCTGGCCAGTTTCTGTGCCTTGCTCCTTCTTCATAAAAGATAAGGCCATCTGTCTTCTTATACTTGGCGGATTTGTAGGTTCGAGAGGGTTTTTGGAGCTTGGCGGCGTGCGTCGCTCATTATGCATCGCCACGGGACGACCGCGGGCGAGGCGATGCGAAACTAGCGCGCGAGAAAGTGCGCGATTACGGTCCGTTACAAATTGGAAAAAAAATCGCAATCTCGCACGGGGACGGGGAGGCGGAGGAAGAGAGAAATCGCTCGCTTATTCCGACAAATCTGACGATTACGATCCTCTAATGGGCGGATTATTCGCGGCCGGCTGTCCGCTGAAATTTAGCCCGGATAAATTTCCCGGATACACCGTTGCGATACGCACATACACACACGTGAATACATATATACCGTGTGACTGCGCGCACGAAACGCCGCGAGAGAAGTGGGTCTACCCACAAATCACGAAAATATATTTTAACGGCACCGTTGCCCCGCGCGATTGCACCACTCTATCGAGCGCATAGCATTCCGAAATATCGCGCGGTGAAAGTAAATTACTGCGACGCGCAGATCCCAGCGAGGACCGCTCCGGGGACCGATTAATTTCGCCATAGACGTAAGAATATATGGACGGAGTATAAAGTGCTTACTTTAGGCGAGGGGGAGTATAAAATTGGTGGGAAAGAGGATCGGGGGCATACAGTCCTTGTACTTCGGCCGGTATCGGCTATGTTCCGCTCACATATACTGTTATTGTTGGATCACTGAGTGTCGTCAGGAGAAAAAACATGAGTTTCTGCATTGCATCCGGCTGTGAAAATCGTAACAATAACCAAAAACTATGAATAATACACTATCAATTTCCATTTATGGTAGCTTTATCACAGAAAGCCGAATATACTCGAATAGTGGGCTTGTTTTTGTCCCCGAACTAGGTTCTGCGCTTTTTACCGTGAAAATGAGAGTAACTATAATTTAGCGTTGCAGGGGGAAAAGAACGAAGTTCAAGTGCGATCCTAGTTTAGGAATGGAAAACAGACTTAGCGCCGAATGGCGATAGCCGAATTATAAGCATGCCCCCCCCCCCTTTGCCCCTCCCGCTGACTTGACGATCCGTCTATACATTCTTGTGTCTATGAATTCCGCCTTGTAAATCAGCAACGGCTTCATCGGGACGTTATTTATCGATTGATCGCGCGTTGCGAAATAATACTTACCTTACACGGAATATATATTGCAGCCGCGAGGTTGAAACTCCGTCCTAATTCTACCTCGCCGAGACGCGAGAGAGAGCCTTTATAGGTAGGTTGAGTCATCTCCTCCTCGTTAGCCCCTGCTTTGTCATACTTTGTTAATTTCGCGTACAGCTTCTTCATCGTCTTTTTTTCCTTCTGCTTCTTCTTCCTCGATGCGCATCGAACGCTATTATGCGGGATCGTGCGATTGAGGCAATAACGATAACATCGTGCGGTTCGTGACGACACGTAGCCCGTCTGTTTTGTATGCGGAATATTTTAATAACAAAATATCAATTATTTATTCGCTTGCTCGTGAAAATCAGGTCGCGTGCTCTGCGTGCGTAACAATGTGAATTTGCACGAGGGGATTTTTGCGCACATGCTCGCGCGGCGGTCACACGTGTCGCTTCGTGTGTGTACTCACCTCTTCTTTGCCGCGGCGGTATTTTTGCGGTCCCCGTGAGCGATTCCAGAATAGATCCGTCGCGGTCGAGCGTGCAGGCTCCGTCGATCGGATGACACGGGAAAAGCGGCGCCGATACGTTTCTTCGTGACTTCGGGATTTTCGTTTCCCGACCGACCGGCGATATACAGAGAGAGAGTGTGAGACGAAATCACTTCCGCCGTTATAAATAAATAGGACGCAACAATAATTTATTCCTCGTTATCGTACATTAGTGGGCTGGACTAATACATCCGCCTAAAATGAGGTATCGTGTGATGTCGCGGT